GGAGCAGATTTAAATTAGAGGTTCTGACCATTGGAAAGCTTTTGTATGAGTCTATTTGCTTTCTAAATTCATGTGGTAGTCTTGGTGCTGATGTTCTTTAAGTCACCCCTTTCAAAACTGACCTCTGATGAAGTTTTTCCTGCCATCTGGGGAGGAAGCCATCAGTTCTCTATAAACAAATGCCAAATACCTTTCTATTCCAGATATGAATAACAAGACGTGTTTTGTATTGGAATGCTTCATGAATCTTCAAAAAAAAAACTCACATCACAAAGAAAACGTTAGCCCTCATCACAGGGGGAGCGATGGTTATGGCCCTAGGGATATTACAGTGAATTTCATTTTCCTTTTGCAATACTGGAGAGGAGCCAGGAGAGGGCACCACCAACCCAAGTATTCTTTTAAAACCACAGCTATGGACTTGGGATAGCCTAACAAAAAGGGGAAAACAGCTTTCATGTGGGTGCTGTTCATTTCCAGGAATTGATGTAGGGTATGAGAGGGCAGGAGATGGGAGTTTTCCCAGGGTCAAGAGACTTTGTCTATGTTAGGAATCCCAGACCCCTGTGTGTGTGTGTGTGTGTGTGTGTGTGTGTGTGTGTGTGTGTGTGTGTAAGATAAGGCTGCTGGCCTCAGTTCTACGGATACACTGTTAATGGTCACATTACTTTCTATGTGAAACTGAGTCATGATCCAATTTCCTCTATGCATCAGCCAAATCATGAAGCAGTTGTACCGAAAAGAGATGCTCAAGTTATATCACTTCACCTGTATCTCAAAGACTTAAAAATCACTGGACTAGGACCACACCCAAACCAGAGAAAAAGCCAAGTCTTATGTGCTCAAAAACAATACAACAGGTGTAATTTTACAGCCCCCAGGTGGGAAGAAACTTGGGATATAAAGTAGGAAGTTAATGTTATAAAAAGGTGAATACAAGAACCAAGAGAGGAAAGGAGAGGACAGAGACAAACAGGCTATTACTGAGAGGGAAATAGCCATGATGTTTCTCCTAAAAGAAGGAGTTCAAGGCCATGCCCAGCCAATGCATTGCATCTCAGGTTCACACTACAGCAAGCAGAACTGCATGCCAAAACAGTAAAAGAAAGGAATCTCTGACTTTGGCACAAAATGCCCATTGCTGGATCTAGTGGTGTGGGCAGAGGGATATGTCAGGAACCCAAAGAAAATGATTCTACACTAGAAAGAGTCCTGCCACTGCAATCTGTGATTGTGACCAGACTTCTAATACTGTGTAATTGAAGCCCTTGGCCTCACGTGACATTGCTCTTACATCCATATTTATTCACACGTGTATAGACGTGTTTACAAGGGATGGAGAGGGAGAGGGCAGGGGAGGGACTGAGGCAGGGAGCGAATGAACAGACAGGTGGGTTCTGGGCTGCAGCTACAGACCCTGCTCCTGTTCAGGATTCTGAACCACAAGTTTCCTCCTAAATCTTTCCAGAAAGCACCTGCCACCTTTGTGCATTAAAAACTGCAAAACAAAAAATCCCAGAACTTCTCAGCATCTTCAAAGGCCAAAGCATAGGAGTCAACATCAGCAGGGTACTTTTCCCAGCCCTGGCTAACAGAGGCACTGAAGTGCCAGGGAGGCTCTTCTCCCTGGTTTCCTGTGGGTCAAGACTCCTTTAAGCACAGCTTCGTACTTTCTTGATGTTGTCTAAGCAGTCTTCTCCTGAAACTGAGTTTTAGCTCCAAGGCCCAAAGAAATACCAAACATTACCTTTGACTGCCTGATATTTCCAGTTATTAATTCAGCATTTTGTCTTTTTACCAAGATGCTTCCTAGATATCTCTATTAAAAGTGTGAACTTCAAATCATGATTGGTTAACAAACACACCTTATTTATTCAAGCACCGGTTTCAGCCACTATGCTATTAAAAGCATGTTTTTAGAAGATGAATCCAAAAATCAGATCATAATACTCTAGTCGGAGGTCAGCGAATTTAGTACGTGGGTTCATTCTGGCCCAATGACTACTTTGTCATTGTTTTGCTTATATTAATACAGTTTTAGCAGAACGTAGTCATGTTCATTTGCCCAAAGATGTTTTCCCACTATGTTAACACAAATTGAATAGATGTAACTCATGGGTCATGAAGCCTAAAATACCTACTACTGGGACTTGTGTATAAACTGCTGGCCAACCTGTATCTAGGCAGACAGCTTCATAAACAGGAATGGTTTTGTAACAATTCAAAGAAAAGGCTGAGCTCTTTGGTAACAGGGAATGATTCATCAAAAATAACCTCTATTTGCAAAACCTCCAAAAATGGAAACTATGCATGGAAATTACCTATCTTCTATCTGTTCCCGTGAGCTGCAAGGTAACTAAAACATTGTAATACTTTGGAAAGCTCCCATCATAACAGGAAGTTATCATCTGATCAATTACACGCATTTGGACTTTCAAATTAAAAATTAAATATATTATTCCATTTAAGGAAAAGGCAATACAAATACACCTCTCTCGTAAATAATGACTATACACTCCCCAATGATAAAAGCAGGGGATGGGGTGAGTCTGATGAACATTATGTTAAGTGAAATAAGCCAGGCTCAGAAAAACCAATGCTGTATGTTCCCATTTATGTATAGAAACTAAAGAAGTTGACAGTAGAATGATGGATATCATGGGACAAGAAGAATATGGGGAAGAGAAAGGGGGACAGAGGTTAGTCACAGGCACAGTTTTACAGCTATGTGGAGCAAGAAGTTCTGGGGTTGTGTTGCCTAACTGAATGACTATAACCAGCAATAATATACAACATTTTTCAGGTGGAGAAGATAGTTAATGTTCTCACAATGATGAACTGAGAAGACTTTAAGGCAATGTATAAGCAAATTGCCCACATATAATCACTACATATATTTCTACATACATAAACAGAATACCATATAAATACAAATGTGGCAGTAAAAACTAAAACAGCAAAGTATGAAAATAGTATTATGAACCCCAGTGTTTCATTCTCTTTCTGACATGGCAATAGGCTCCTCATCACGCAAGTACACTGGCCATCTTATAGGGATTTGTTGTCATTGTATTAGAATGAGGCACCATGAATGGGCTGGCTACATAACTCACATACATAAGAGAGAATCAAAAGATCAGAAAGGGGAGCTGTTGAAGTCCAAATTTAAAGTAAATATATTCCATATAAACAATATACATACACACATACATATATATGTGTGTATATAATATATATATATGTAATATACATGTACATTTGTCTGGGGACCTGTAAAGTTAAACACATTCTGTCCAAAATGCTCTTGACATCTGAGGAAGTTGTCACAAAATGAACTGACTGACATAAGCAGTCACTGGGACACTTAGCAGGTCCAGAGTCAGGTCATCTGTAAGTGGTCACTCATATTGATTAAAGATCACATCCCTCAGATGTCATCTCATATATGAAGATCTAGATGAATCTTCTCATTAAATTGGCATGGAATGTATCTACAGACATAGATGTATTTATGACGGATATAAAACACATGTGATTCAAATGACAGATAAGAAACTATGATATTGAATAAAAATAATAGACTTCCTATTAAATACAATGTTATACTCCCTGTTTTGAAAACTACTTATGAAAAGATATAATTTTTATCAAGAAGAAATATACGCCAGGTGGTAGTGGTGCATGCCTTTAATCATAGCACTTAGGAGGTAGATGCAGGAGGATCTCTGTTGAGTTTGAGGCCAGCCTTGTCTATAGAGCAAGAGTTCCAAGGCAGTCAGAGCTACACAAGAAACCCCATCTTGAAAGGAAGGAAGGAAGGAAGGAAGGAAGGACATATTTCACACATCTCTGACTGTGTGAAGTCCTATCGGTAAGAGATTTGTAGAAGAATTGACAGCACAAATGCATGCAGTATGGAGAGGTAGTAGGAAGGATTCTGGGGCAGAGGTGGGGTGAATAGGAGGAGAATGTGTGTGACAGACGAGTTAGCCATGCTCCAGGCTTGGAGGCAGCAGATATAAGACATAGAAGCTGATTTATGTACAAGTGAGCACCAGGGCCTGGGTACAGTATTTACACAGCAGAGGAGGGATGGACGCTCCCTTGTCCACTGATGTTACACAAGGATCAGCAAAGCATGCATGATCAAACAGGAACAGAGATAATGGGCAGGAAGCCAGAAAGAAAGGCCTTAAATGGCAGATGGCAGGAGCTGCTCAAAGTAGAAGAGAAAAAAACCCAACAGGTACTACTTGCTTACCCTGCCCAGCTGCAGGTCTCAACCCACTTAACTGAGGGCAGGCCACCATGAACAAAGATGGCATCCATAAGTGGGGGCCCAAGGACACGGAAAGGACGACCAAGCTTCTTTGGAGACTCACACATGCAAAGGGCGTGCAGCAACAAGGTGAGCTTAAAAGAGAATGTGTATTTACACAGAAAACCATGGTCTATCTTGAAGACACATTGGAAAGTAAAAAGCAATGCTTATTGAACAACAATATGGGCATCAGGGTCTCAATTTAATTAAAATGTGTGTATGGAAATGTAAAGAGAATTGTATAAAGGACAAAGGAAAGAAATAGATAATGGATGTAAGAGGGATCCTACAGAGTCTCAAGACAGGAGGGAAGAAGTGTAAAGGCCATTTGCATCAATCATTGAATCTGATGGCCTCATCTTAGAAAACCATTCACTCTTTTCAAGTGTTAAGGCCAAGTGACTATTTCTCTGAATCACTTTCTACATGCCAAATACAATTATCATGACTATTTCATTCTGAAATAGCCTTACGTATTGTTACTATTTTTTAAGTATACCAGCATTTATCTGTTTTAAACAACTCAGAGTCAATGTATATATGTAGGAGGCTGAGGCTGGGGTGCAGTGTGAGGGATGAGCTCCTCTATGAACAGCGTGAGATGAGCAACTCAAGCCTTCATACCAAGACGCAGAACAAGTCTTTCAGGCTACTGAGCAAGCGCACCACAGACCCTTACCGCAGCGATCCCGGACCACGAGGTTGCGGCCTTCCTTCAGGTGTATGGTGAGAAGGTATGCGAAGGGGCTGGGGAGGTGACTCAAGCAATCGCCAGCTTCTCCAAGAGTCTGCACAGAGGGAAAAGGCATCCAAGTCAGCGAAATGTGGGCTAAGCGAGACACTACTTACTAATCAGGAGAGACGAAAGAAACAGTGGTTGAGTATGAACCCCAGCTGTCACATGCTTTGATAACATGGTCATTAACCATATTATCAGCCCATTACTTTATATTTTCTCCCCAGTGGGACTGTATCTGAATTCAGATGGAATCATGAACATAACTTCCCAACAATTACATGAATAGTATGTCAGCGTCAGAAACCCCTAAACTCCTTGACATTGTGAGATTTCTTATTATAAAAACTGTACACTTGGGCTGGAGAGATGACTCAGCAGTTGGACACTTGTGTAATTATGAGGACTAGGGTTCCAGTCTCAGCACCCCCATAAGAAGCCAAACAGTCTATGCACATCTGCAAGTCCAGCTCCGAGGGAGGTAGAGATAAGAGGCTCTTTTTACTTGGCTGGCTTCTAGCCTAGCTGAGCCTATATGAGTCTTGGTTCAGGGAGAAAGTCTGTCTCTAAAGGACAAGTGGAGAGTGATGAAAGGAGTGTCCTTTTCTAGCCTCCCCATGCATAAAGGCAGGTGCACTAACATACGCAGGTGTGCATACATACATACTTACACACACACACAGGGGGTGGGGAATTAACTAAAAATAAGGACAGAACAAGGGAAAAGGAATAGTATGACGAGAGGAGAGCGGGGCTGGCTCCCACCCAGGTGTACCCACATATCCACGCCAGATGCAGACTGCCTCCCCCTTCTTGTCTACATTCCCACCAATCCTCCCCAATTAGAGTAGGCTTCCTCCACACGGGCTATAATTTCAACCCTCAGCGTGAGTCTCAGTCTTCCAGACCATCAGGTGCAGACTCTTCACCTGAGCCCCAGCCTCAGCGCTCTGCTCCCTAGCTTATGCACACCCACTTTCCTCTTCAGTATTTTTTCTTGGTGTCTCTTTACCCTCTTGCTCTCTCATGCCCTAGGCTCTGTCACTTGCCTCTATAGGAATTCATCAGCTGTCATGGGCTCCAGTAACTAACCCATCTAGTTTTGAGTACCTATGAATTGTCTGAATCCCATGCAATGTTTGAGCCAGGTCAGATTTCTACCTTTCTTCAAAGAACAAGTGGGATGATTTATTATTCATTCATTAGGCACTCAGTCAATTGATCCAGTGGCTGCAGTTGCCCTTGACAAGTTTCTTTTCAAAGTTTCAGAGGGCTTCAAAGGGCTTTGTCCTCTTTCCTTCCAAACTCAGTTGCATTGCTCCTGTGTATTTTTAGAGTAATCTATTCCAGGCTAACCAATCAATAAACCCAAATGAATCTCTTGCAGCTAGAACTTGTAAAACACGTTTCTATAGGCGGGACACCTTTCCATATATTTTAAAGATGAAGAAGCAAAGCAATACAAACAATCGGTGAGAAATATTACAAGATGACATCAGTGCTAGTTTGTACTGAACATCACTCACAGATTCTTCTTCAAAATTCTGAGACGTCATAGAAGCATTCAGATCATCATTGCCATGCGACTTCTGTAAAAGAAAACAAATTCTGCTGTAGGAAAGCAAATGAATATTGACTTGTGACATTGTCCTGCCTCAACCCTTTGGGAATCTGATATTTGCATGTCTGGTTTCAGGTATGGGGGAGGCTTTGCTAGCTGTGTGGCAAGAAGAGGTGAACTCAGAGGTGTCGATTGGGCCATGGCCTCTGAGACCTAGGTTATCTATCATAGCATGGCTTAGGTACTAGGTTATGAATAAATACATCCACACATACAGCAAACAAGATGACCAGGAGGGCACATAGCCAAGTCCCTTCTCCAGGGTGGGACTGCTCGACCTGCAACCAGCAACTAAACTGTGATGCCCATCCTCCAAAGAGTTCAACACGTCCACAAACTAGGAAGTCCTTCAATATGGGATTTGTGAAATCTTTTTTTTCCACCTGGACTGCTTGGGTCCCACAAGGCTCTAATCGCCAGCCCAAAATTGGCAACCAGGAACTCCCAAGGAATGACTTGACACGGTAACATGTGGTTCCTATTGTGAATACACTCCCGTGCCCAGGAAGGGAGGGTTGACAGAACTGACATCTGTCAATAGGAAAGATGATGCTCAGCAGCCTGCTTGGTCTAGATGTGTGTGCACACATGAGGGAACATCTAGAAAAGCTGAGGATTTTGCAGAATTGGGGAGCAGTGTGAGAGGGTGACACCCACAGGAAAACACACACAGGAGAAGACAGGGTTCATGCACCCCTTTCCTGAAAATCTGAGCATGCTGCCATTTGCCTGGCCCTATATATTGCTCTAATGAAAGCTGGGTGACTCCAAAGTCTTAATTCAGTTTGGGGGTAAGGAGGCCTTCAGAGATTGCTTAGAATACAGACCCCTGGTGTGCAGGCCATGCTTGGAAGACCAGAAGACACGAGGCTTCCTATCCATTGGGGATATGTTAAACACCCTTCCTTGCTAACACATACACTCCCAGACCTTGAGACAGTTCCAGCACAAGAGCCATTTTTCATCCTCCAATAGGGTGGGTGGATAGTTATAAACAAGCAAGGCTCCCTGAGTCACCACCTCTGCATTCGGTAAGAGCCAGGAGACCATAACAGGCAGAAATCGCCTGCATATCTACAAGCTTTCAGCCAGGATAACAGCTGCCCTGGAGCTCTTGGTTCTACTGTTCTCAAACTTTGCTCTGTCCTCACCCACCCTAGGTCCACTCTCCCCAGAACACGAAGACATCATGGTCAATTCATGTCAACTCACATAGGAGGGTGGGAGGGAAATTTTTCTATACTTTGAGTTTTCTCTAGGGCTGATACACTTCATTTATTATACCCACTACCCCTGTAAGTACTACCAGTGTCCCAACACCCCATGTGAGGCAGACAGGAACGCAACAACAGGTCCAGTGCCAAGAAAACCTCTCCTTCAGGTTCTTTATCTCACCTTGACTGACTGTTTCTAAAATGACACCCAGGCAAGACAGGTGGGTCCATCAACAATTAGATTCTTACCCAACTTTTTTGATGTCAATGGATTCCTTGCATGTCTTTTATACTGCATGTGAGCAAGCCCCAATTTCTGCCTGATTTACTATGCCAATACTGATGTTTCAAAAACCCAGAACCAACAATCACCAGCACACTCTGACGCTCTGCAACCTGGGAAAGTTTCCATTACCATTTCATTTTATTAAATGAATCAATGTTCCAGTTGATCAATCCTGCTTGAAGACAAGACAATCCCACATAGTTACCATGGCTGGGAGCAGAATTCTAGTTTGTTATTTATAGAGTGTCATGGTAGTCTGCTATCTTCCACTTTTTCTAAATATTTATTTTGGGGGTGTGTGAGTGTGTTTGTTGGGGGGTTGGGTGGGGAGGTATGCAGAAGCATGCACATGTATGTGTATTACAATTATGCATGTGTACCATGTGCATGCCTAGTGCTTTTGGAGGCTAGAAGCGGATGCTGGAAGCCCTAGAACTGGAGTTAGGGAAGTTAGTGTGCTGAACCTGGGTCCTCTGCAAGAGCTGTAAGTGTTTTTAACTGTTGAGCCATCTCTCTGGGTCCTTATCTTCCATTTGAATTGTATGGATGACTAAACCACATTCTGCTAAAGCATGGCACTCTGTATGTAATCCCCAATGCCAGCCTTACTCTATTTAGTAGTAATGCTATTTAAATGATGCAATCAGTCTACATATATGCCATAATTTATATACTATTGAAAAACTAATGTCAAGCCTTTATTTAAATACACTGTAAGTTTTCCACTTATAGCAACAGGGAAATTCCATGTGAGCAATGACATTAATTCAACATTATGGCTGGTTTTACTCACAGAAGTCACAGAACTCAAAGTTATGGTTCCCACAGCCACTGTAACTGTCATACACTATATATACACAGGAAGGAAGGAAAGTGATTACCATAAGAACAGAAAGCATTCCATATGCACAAGAGGACGAGATACAGCAGCTGGGAGACACATAACTTAGACTACTCTCATGCACTCTTCTTACACAGAACCCAGGGAAATATCCACTGAGCAGAATCTGTAACACTCTCTTCTGTAAACCAAGTAACTAGATCCTTGAGTTATGACTGTGTGTCTTAGTAAAAGGAACACAATTAAGTTTACATTCTAAGGACTGGCTGATAGCCCTCTGCCCTTAGCTGTTTGTGTTTATGTTCTCAATAAGAATAATCAGACATACTGGGTTTGCTAAAAATGAATCACAAGTCAAGGTATCTCAATGGAAGGTTACCATATTGCTGTGAGTGCTGTGACTTTAAAGAGGTGTAGATTTGAACAGCTGCTCTATGGTTGGGATACACAACCATTCTGACACTCAGAAAACTCCTTCATTCTATGCCACTCTGCTACCTCTTCCTCAACCAAGGCAACTACTCATCTATTTTCAACACTCTATATTATCATTTACAAATTATCTTGTCAAAGAAGTCATATAATATGTCAACTTATGGCATCTTTTACTTTGCATAAGGCATTTGAAACCATGCAAGTTCCCATTATTATCATCTCTCTTAATTGCCAAGTAGTGTTCTAACAGGTGAGTGGTGAGTGTACAGATTGATGAACTACTGAGCAGCACTTTTAGGATTTTAAACAAATTGTTTTCAAGCGCATACTCAGCAAAGGATGGATAATTTTGAACATCATATTTGAACATCAAAAAATCTAATAAATCGCACCAAAATAAATTAAAGCATATTATTTCCTATTTCATGTACATATGGGGGATTTCAACTCTCAATCAAAGAAACAGGTGTCTTTCTTTGATTTGACTTTAGAGACATACGGCGTTGCAATCTACTTTAGTGTACTGTTATACATAGGAAGCTAATTCATAATTTGTGTCCCCTTTAGGTGTGAATCCCCAACTTAAAGGAGTGAAAATTCATTAAAACCCTGACATATGTAGGTAGCTTTGAGATGGACACAAGTGTGTGTGTGTGTATGTATGTGTGTATGTGTGTGCATGTGTGTGTATTTGTGTGCATTGTGCATGTGTGTACGTGTGTGCGTGCGTGTGTGTGAGTGTGTGCATATGTGTGTGTGTTTATGTGTGTGCGTGTGCATCCAAGGGACAGAGAAATGACTCTGTTGGTTAAAGTGCTTGCTGAGCAAGTGGAAAGACCTGAGTTACAGATCCCACATAAAAAGGTGGACATCCTGGTGTACACTTGGAATCTCTGGGCTGAGGAGTAGAGACAGATGAATGTCTGAAGCTTGGGAAAAGCATCCTTGTCTATTGGGTTAGCCCCATGCCACTGGGGACCCTGCCTCAGGAATCAAGGTGGTCATCTTTTGAAAAACAACACCTGAGGCTGACCTCTGACTGCTATACACATGTACAGACATGCATGTATGCTTTCACATATACAATTATACATAGATGAATATGAATACACTCTTGCATGTGCAAACACACAATATTGTCATCAAGGATCTTGAAAGCAAAACATCATTGTGAACAAGTGAAGTTTTCCTTTTCCATATACTCAGTGTGATCTTGTGTGAATGCCCCCTTCCACGTGGCTGTCAGAGAACCTTGCTATGCAGGATACTCAAGAGCCAAAGCAAGGCTTGCCATCCCTGGGTACCTGATTTCAGTAGAACAAGGCATACACTCCCAGGCAGACAAGCTGACAATAAGGGAGTACACTGGCTGAGATCAATTATTTCATTTTAAAACTAATCCGTGAACGAATATGAGTGGATATCTGAGTATTAAGTGGAATATGATTTAAATTCTATAACCCAATCCAGGCTTTGAAGATCATGCATATTTAAGAGTAGAACTTCACATGCAAACATCTATGTGAGACACAGACAGTACTAACATAAGCAACAGGAATGTGATGGCCACATGGGCAAGTTAGGCTATTAAGCAGTCACTGGCAACAGTGACAGACTAAGACACAGCATCTGTCAACTGGGGCAAAGTCAGAAGGTGTGTTCAAAAGCCAGTCGGGTCTGCACATCCACCTACACTTCCTGCACAAACTTCCAGGAGGTTCTGGTGTGCATAGACATAGGATCTAATAATGCACTCGGCAAACTAGAACCATTACAACATTCAGCTCTTGTTCTGTTCTCTTTATTTTTTGTAACTATTTTTCTATTTATTTGAAGCACAGAACAAAAGGGTACACTTTGGAAGCCCAGTGGCACAAAGTACACTGCCATTAACTTGAGAAATATCACAGTTTCTTAAAAAATAAAATATAAAGAATTTTTCTCTTGTTTCTAGCACAGAGTTACATAATTTTACCTACCCAAACACACCATTTACAAATATCAAACAGCTATCATCTAATAAAGAGATAGCTTTCTTACAAAAATGCAAGGATTTAAGAGTGCTGTCTAAACCAGAAAAGACAAACACAAACTGGAATAAAAAGCTAAATATCTAAACCAGGCGGTGGTGGTGCATGCCTTTAATCCCAGCACTCGGGAGGCAGAGGCAGGTAGATCTCTGTGAGTTTGAG